TTAAATGTTGACCAGATCTAAATGTTGGCCACATAATGTTGATACTCGTGTGATTATTAAGTGGGGAAATTATTTGCTTTGACTTTTTCCATGTGCAGAAGTAAATAGGATGAAGTGAGATTAGATAATTATGGTCTATGGATTAGTATTTGAGTTTAGATTTTAATTGGAAGTTAGTTAAACGGAAGCTAATGGATTAGATATTTGAGGTCTATGGATTAGTATTTGGATTTCAAGGGTATTTTAGCCCATCGAAAGCTTTTCATTGAACTCGTACTTTTAAAATGAGTATGATATATATAGTACATACATGTACATACATATACATATATATGTATGTATATGTGTGTAGGGTTACAATACACTACAGGAGTAACTAGGTTAGTTACACACACCTGTGAAAATATACCTTTGACCATTGATAGTAACGAGCCACACCATTCATTATGATCTATGCATTCAAAACTTGATACAGATAAAAAGCCTCATAGATTAGATATTTCTATTTTATACATCTAATGACCTAGAAATGAACGATGGAGAAATTTTTAAAACCAACCTGTTCGCTAAAAAATTCCCCAAAAAGACCCATTTCAAACTTAATTTTAAAAATCGACCCAGTTGGCTGAATCTGGGTCGGTTTTTTTTAAAAAAGTTTTCAAACTTCACGGAAGTTTATGTCCCGTGAAGTTTTGTTATATAAAAAACTTCACGATACTTTAACTCCCGTGAAGTTTGGAATTTTTTTTTTTCAAAAACCGACCATGTTTTAGCCAACTGAGTTGGTTTTTGAAATTAAGTTTGTAATGAGTATTTTTTTTGGGAATAAAATTCAAAACAGGTCGGTTTTAAAAATTTGTCCAATGAACGATTTGTAATGGTCCAAAAGGTCGTTTATTTTGAGTTGCTAGATTTATAGGATAAAAAATTCCAAACCACATGATTTTTGACCCACATATATTTGATGACACATAGATTACAATGAAAGGTTTGCATTTACAAAATAGATGGGAAAATTGTATTTTTTACAGGTGTGTGTAACTAACTTAGTTACACCCTAGGTATATTGTAACCCTATCCTACACACATTTACATAATATACTAGGTGGGATGCACGTGTGTTGCACGTGGTCAACTACTTTGATTCTTTATTTTGGGTTTAATATATTTTTTAGTTACTATGTAATATATTGCTAAATAAGGTCAATAATTTGTTAAACTTTTAAAATAAGAAAGTCCATTATATGTGATTTGATTTATTAGATTTTATGTGTGCTTTAGAGTTGAATATAATTTATTTCTTGATCAATGAAAATGTCACACAGTTGCTAATAGGTGGTACAAGCTGTTTTATTCTATAGTAACCTTCGGTTTAACCCTTCATTCATGTATTTATTTCTCTATGCATTAGTTTGATTAAAAAAATGATTCTTTAGGAATTGCTCTTTGAGTTCTGGTTCTTATGGGTACCATGTCAGCTTCAATACCAAGTAATATAATTTCTAAAAAGATCAATTTACTCATTAAAAGCACCAGCTGCATGCAATTAGAGTTGGGTTATCTCGAAAAGTTCGGGGGGATTTTCTTCAATTTTTAAATTTGAGATTGGCTATTTACAATATGCTCAAATTTGATGGGGACTTTTTTCAGATTAAAGTAGTTAAAGCGGAATTTCTAAGATACCCTCCATAGTCTAGGGGGGTTAAGTGAGAGAAGTTTAGGAGAGTTATCTCGAATTTTCAAAGTTGAGGGTATCTACAATATGCTTTAACTTGAGGGGATTTTTCTCAAATTAAAATAGTTTTCAAAGTTGAAGGTATCTACTATATGCTTAAACATGAGGGGATTTTTCGTAAATTACACTTGAGTACCCTCCTGTACATAAATATGCTCATTTATAAATGACTTCACTTAAATACCCTAAAGTTTTTAAAACTTGCACTGTAGTACTCTCGGTTATGCGAACATGAGCATTTCCTCACGAAAACTCTCATGTGACACTCATGCAATTTCCAAAACATTTTAATCCTTACTTTTTGTTAACCCTATTAAAATCTATATTAAATCTACCCTAATTCTATATTAATTTAAAATAGGAGTATTTAAAGATAGTTGCAACTTATTAGATTCACCATGTAAAATTGTAAAGATTACCACTATATAATTGAGAGGAAAAAGATTCAAAGTAAGCTTATTGTATTTGCAAGTGGTAAGAATCAAAGAAAGAGGGAGATAAATAGTCAGTCCCATCGAATTGCTGAATTAGTTCGTCACTACACGTATTCACAATAGAGCCATTAACTTACTATAGAGATTGCAATCTACCACCACGACACTCATATCTTGCATTCTAAACACTTGAATATTAAATGCATTAAAAAGATTTGCAAAAGGAAAATTATGAAAATTTGAAGTTGTAGATGATCTAAAGACTTTTATTTGAATAAACAAGTGATCCTCAATTCCGCCATGCTTATGGTTTTAACTACTACTACTTGCATATGTAGAAGACAACAAAAGATTATTATTTAGATTCTAAACAAAAAAATTTATCATGAAATTCAAGAAAGTGATGCAATTTAGTTTCAATATTTGAGAGACCAAAGAGATCCCTATTTTGTGTCAAATAGTTTACATAGTGATAAGAAACATATAATGGTTTAATTAAAGATGTTTAGTGGAGAATAGAAAACGGGCAAAGTTTTTTTTGAAAAAAAATAAATTAGTAACGGAGTTAAAAGCTAGTTAAAGTTTAGATGATATTATGACTACTTCCAAGAAATCACACAAAAGCGAAGAAAATAACGAGAACATAAAATGCACGGATATGACATAGTTTAGCTTGTAGCCTACATCTACGGGCAAATGAGGAGAATAGCCTTACTAACAATCTGTGAAGAATATAACAAGGGAAATCTCTCAATCACTAATCCCAGATTACGTTATAAAAGCTCTTATATAATCTCTCTCTCTAAAAAAAAAGGACAAAAGAGAACCAAAAGTTAGTCAAAAGGCTTCACAAGAGAACCCTTTGTTCTCTGTTCGTTTCTTGGTGCAAAAACTGCAGCAAATAGCTTCATAGATATGTATAAGACTAAGGCTTAGTTGCTAGCAACAATTCTGTCACAAACTAGATGCTAAATTCAATTTGAAATCCAATCTATAAAACCTTGTCCTTATCATCATACTATAGCTATAGGAATCCAAGTTTCACAAGGAGTATATTTAAACTAAATATCAACATTAAAATCTATCCATCCACCAATCAGAAAAAAACCGATTGAAAAAGAGTCCCTATATTGTAACGCGCTCAATCCAACCTAGCCAAAGTATCATGTTCGATTTGGGTCTGTATTTTGAACTGATAATAACAAAAATAAATTTATTATTAATTAGGATAGACTTAGAATGTAAATCCAAGAAGGTAATATTGACTATGGAAAGATTTTCCTAAATTCACATTATATACATACATACATACTACACACATAAATACAATTTGGAATTATCCCAAAGAAGGAACCAAGGACGGATCCATTAATAAAGATCCGGGCACTTGCCCCAACAAAGTTTTATATTTTTGTATCAAGGGGTATGCATATTTATATGGGTGCCCCCGTACAATTCTGATAAATGCCCTTAACCCAACAAAAGATGAGACTACTTAGAGGACAATTTTGAAGGGCTATTGTTGGAGCTTTCTAGTTTTTTGTTAGTTTTTCTGATAAAAACAAAAATTATCATGTCTTAATATGGAATCATAATGTTAAATATTACTAGTTAAAATATTTGGGATTGGTGTGTAAGTTTTTTTATTAGGAGAATTTAATCAATTTGTATTATATAAGTTATTGATTTTTATTAATTTATATGTACAATTGTATTTGTATCCCCATAAGAAAAATATTTTGGATTTGTCCCTGGAAGGAATATACTCCTATTCCAATAGGCGGGCATGGGCTCGCATTTAGGTTCTGACTAGAAAGTGGAATAAGGAGGATCTAAGGCCATATCAAAAATTTCACTCAATGATAATTTATGCTCTTACACCCAAGTCTCTTATACCGAACTTCGGTCTCCTAAGCAACTTCCCTAACCTGGGAATTTTTGCTCTCAAAATTTTTTCTCCTTATATGCCGATAGAATTTGTTAATGCCCATAAAGAATTCCCAAGAGTATTAGGTACAAAATGCCACCGTACCAGTATGCCTATTTAGTATCATGCACGGAATGTATATGGTTAATAAGAAAAAACTAGGTCTACTTTCATTGTATTTTCCGCAACTTAAACAGACATCATCATGACATAAGGCAGTTGCAAGGTAGCCTTTTTCTCGTCTACCATGTTTGTTATATAAGAAGCATTCTGCGAATTTTCTGAAGTAGAAAGCATCATGGGAAGAGTTTACCGTTAAGTCCAGTTATACTGCATGTTTTCTGGTCTTCTTGCTTACACTAATTGCGAACCCCCTTGACATCTTGAATAAGTACTCAATTTTGATATGGACCTCTAGTTAAGTGATCAATATGTTTTAGTAATTTTCTAGGTACCAATGCCGTCGTGCAAGTTTCATCTTCATCAATTCAATAGAGGCATGCTTTAGATTATTTAATTTTCTAATGATGATCTAATAATGTTTGGTTCCCAAGGGCTTACTGGTTATTTAAGATACCTACACTTTCATATAAATTTGCATGCTAAATATTTTAAGAACTAATATAAAGTACATCCTAGTATGATTTATAAGAATTTTAATGCTTTCCCCTTGTATCTAATCATGCAAACAATTTAAGTTGGAGCAGGATGCAACACGTTAGGGAGTATGGGGACATCCCCTTGAGAAACCTAATCTTTTCTACCTCTTAACAAATGATTATCCTGATCTGACAATTGTGGGCATTGAGATCTGTGTGAGCAGAAAGCCATCTTTTATTTGGGTTTGTTTTCGTGTAGATAATTATGTCCTGAAGTGCTTTATGTGTGTATTTTGGTGTATCAGGCAGTTATGGAAACTGTTGCTAGAGTTACATCGAAGAAAAATGAGACCGAGGAGAAGTATGTGCATCTACTTGTAAATACAATGGTTTTATTGGGAGTAATTTATATATATTAAAGGAGTTCAATATTCGCTGTGCATTGCTTCTCTCTACTTTTCAGATCATTTCAGTTCCATAATGTTTTTAATAATGAGGATCAAGCAGAGGATATCCCGACATTAATTGATCGAAAGGTATTCTGTTCTTTTCATATTACTTAATATATAGAAGTTATTATGTTGCTCATGAAATGGAAATCTGTCTTTTCAGGATAATGTTTTTATCATATCCAATCCCAAGTCAAAGTATCCAATATTGAAGTTAGACCTCAGGTATGCCTGCAGAGCTTCTTCAAATATTCACTATTTTTAATTTAGTACCACTGTTGTTCTGATTGTAACCAACAGAACCTGTTTGGTGTCAACTCGATTCCGATACTAGTGTTGTCCATTATTTTGCTGAAGAACATTTATAGCTTTAAAAAAAATAGTAATATTAAACTGCCAAAGTTACCAACCTGTTCACCTGAAAGAGCAGTCTTTTACTTATTATGATACTGATATTTCAACCATTGATTTCAACCTGACAACATCTATATCTTACTTGAGAAGGACAACTGGCCCTGTTTCAAGAACCACAATCATCTCATTCCCTTAATCTTGCATGAGCCAATTTTTCATGTTGCAGAGGTTTTCTGGCCTACATACAGATTATTGGTCTACCAGGGTCCTGGACAGTATATGTAAAGTCGTAACAATGCATGATTATTAGTGGCCTGCTGTTTTTATTTGCTACTTCACATGAAAATAGCTATGCCATGCCAACCCAAATAATTTAATAAGGCTTGTTGGTAATCCTTAAGGTAATTTAATAATATTACACACACGTCACTGTGGTATATTTAAGTATTATTATTCATAACTGACATGGTTGTTCTTGTTCATGTACTGGGTAAGTCAGGTATTTATAATAAACCATTAGAAGCATTGACAAACATTTATCACGAGGTGCCTTTTTTTCATTTTCGCTCCTTCAGCAACCAATTTCATATATGATATATAATATGTAAAATATAGATAAAATAAAAGGTAATGAGAGAGAGAGAGAATGAAGAGAGGAGAGAGAGAGCATATTAATGAGTATCCTTGCTCATAGGAGGGGATTTTTCCTCCTTGTGTTGCCTAATTGTGGCCACAATCCCCCACAATCCTCATCAAGTTGACACACAATCCCCACCAACTTACACTCTCTTCTGCCTACTTTGTGAGCGAGGTGATGGATTGTGCGCACATAGGCGTTCAGGAGGAAATCCACCTCCTATGATAAGGATACCAACCTTAATGCTCATATATATTATATACTATATATATTATTCATATATACATATATATATATATATATATATATATATATATATATAGAGAGAGAGAGAGAGGAGAGCAGAGAGAAATTCTTATATCAACTTTAAGTGGAACTCCCCAAAACTTTCATCCATTGACTGATACCTAGGAAAAATCCATGCCAAAATATTGAAGAGACTTTATATATATAAAAAAAATCTATATTAATTATATATATATATATATATATATTATATTAATAAATATAAATAATATATAATATAGTAATATATAGTATGAATTTTCTTAATCTCATGCAGAAAGGAAAGATAATGTAATCTACACTACTCTCTACTACACTACTTGTGCACTACAAGAAAGAAGTGTGGGCTCCTTTGATGAGTCATCAAATTTGAGAATGGTTAAAGAACATGGACCCCACACTTTTATCACTTGTAGTGTAAAAGTAGTGTAGCCGTCACTACTCACCGAAAAATGATGGAAATTTTTGTTTGTTGTGCTGCCTCGTTGATGCAACTTATTTATTCTTTATGTCACTTCTTTTTGGCTGTTGCAATCCATCATTAATCAAATCTTCCCTCTTCTTGTATGTGTGAGAGCAGTCCTATTTTCTTATGTTCCTTCCATTTAACATTTAGACAGAACAAGTAAATTTGGGCCTTTAGGGTTCATGTGAAATTCTTCCAAGTTCAATGACGAACAATGCTGTAGAGATGACTTGCCTTTTTTGATACCCTGCTTTAACTTATAATTTACCTTTTTATTTGTTTGGTGAACTTGACATGGTGAATATGTTCACAGTTAGGTACATCAACGTTATGAGTTTGAGTGAACTTTTTATTCTTTCTTGAGTAAACTTTCTTGTTTGGTGCCTTTATTTTGATTTCAAAGGCACTGAATTTTTTTAGTATCTTGCTCATGTTCCACACCTGTTGAAGATTGTATTCTATAACCAATTCATGAGAGACCAGTGCAAAAAGATGATATGATAAGTGGATTTTGTCCAGCAAGGCAGCAACTAAAAGCCTTTTCACTAAAAATTCCATTTCATATATTTGCTAATTTGCCCCTTTTTCTCTATCTTCTGACACGATACAAGTTCTTTATTGTTAGGTTAAATCCCTTAATGCAACTAGAGATTTTGTTCACAATCAGACTGTACTCTTCTTTGATACTTCTTTATTTTACAGGTTGATATCTGATCTTGTGGCGGTTATTGTTTCTGCGACTTGTGGCGGCATTGCTTTTGCTTGCATGGGGCAACCGGTTCGTACAAATAATACTTTCCTTTAATTACTGTGCGTGCATGTATGCATGGATGGATGCATGCGTACATGCACACCGTCTGTAGAAATCCCTCTACATGATTCCTGTAAGGGTGGGTTGTTGTTTGCATAGGGGAGGTGGGATGGTGGCCACAGATAAAATTCTGATAATCTACATGCCTTTTTGTTGCGAGTCGCTGAAATTTCATGAATTTTTATTTTGCTTTATCAATATTTTCTTTTTTGGGGGGGCAGGTGATCACTGGTTATTTACTTGCGGGCTCCATCATCGGACCCGGAGGTTTGAACTTTGTCAGCGAAATGGTGCAAGTAAGGTGCTTTTATTATTATTATTTATTATTTATTGCTGTTGGAAGTGTAGCTTGTTTACTTGCTTAATGATTTTTATAGGAGAGAGTGGAACCTACTTCAAGAACTTATAAGTACCCTTGTACCCAATGATATAGGCATTTCGATTTATATAAAATCATAGGAGCTATTATAACAGATTGTAGTTCTGGGACCATGCTAAACTTGCCCATTTTTTCTTAGCCAATAAAAAGGAAACTTAGGCTTTTTTTGTGTTTAATATTTACAGCTTAGATAAAGTTATTCCTAGGTTTTCATCTGGATTCAAGTTCACATTTCAGGCAAGTTGCCATGAGGCATCAAACAAAGAAAATTATGCATGCATTTCATTGATTCCCCAGTTGCTTAAATTGTGCTATTAGCAATAAGGTTAATGCTTGACAATTTTTGTGCTATGTTAGTCCTATTACTAGAGGACATTACTCAGTTTTCATGAGGATCTGATTCCTTTGGACCACCCTTGTCATATTCTTTTGGAAATTATGCTATGGAATTTCTGACAAATTCAACTCAGCTGGAAAAAAAATTGTCTCCTATTCTAGGTTTTTCACGCCTACAGGAGGGCAGAACATGAAACTTTGCTCTAGCTTGTTTTTTACTGTTCTTTTCTATCTGAAATAATGTTTGCTTAAAGCATATCTTGGTACTTGCTTGAATGAAATTGTAAGAAATTGGTATACGTTCTAAAATTACCAAGTCTGCTTTCCCGGTGGTTAATGTGCCTTTGTCTTGTTGACTCTACGTTGCAGGTTGAAACAGTTGCGCAGTTCGGTGTAATTTTTCTTCTTTTTGCATTGGGTCTGGAATTCTCTACAACAAAGGTTAAACCATTTCGGTCACTATAATTTTTGGATAATTTTACAAGGACATGCTCTTGCAGTTCTGTTGGTAAAGCTGGACTCTTAATGCTTAACATTGACTCTTCAGCTTCGAGTTGTTCGTGCAGTTGCTGTTCTTGGGGGTCTATTACAAATTTTTCTGTTTATGTGCTTATGTGGCATAACTGCTTCGGTATGTTGAAGTTTCTAATTAAGAATATTATGGTAAACTCCTTAAGTTTAGATTTATTCTAACCATCCAATAAGCATCTGCATTTAGCTGCAAATAACCAATAGATTTCAGTATTGAGTTGTATCCGTTATTCTGTTGGAAGGTCTGGTTGCACATATTCTCACATGCTTATTAGGATAGATTTTCAGACTGTAATCTCTCCATACAAAAATAATTCAGAATTATTTGTAAGACAGGCACTGATGCTTTTTTAGTGTAGTTCTTCAGCTTGTATCTGCCATGATAAAGTCAGAACTGCTTGGTAGCTTTTGTGTATTTTAAGACGTCACATGTATATGTGTGAACACCTGTATCTGCACCGGTGGCAGCTTTAAGTTTTGAAGTTATGACTTCTGTCCATTAAATGGAACTTTAATCTGGTAGACCATAAGTTTCATATTGTTTCTTTGCAGTCCGTTCCAAGTCTTTCCCGTGTGGTATAAAAGTTTACATCATACTTTAAGCTTTAATAAATCTGGGAAATCTCTCATGTACTATTATTCAACAGAAAGCTCCTTGGATTTTTCTGTGCCTGTAATGTATATAAAATGATTTACTATCATTCTTTATAAATTTAATACTATCGAATATTTTTGGTGGCTCACAACTTTGTGTTGTTTCTAACTTTTGACCAATGCATGTTATAGTAGTTTTACTTGGTACTTTTTTTCGTACTGGAGTGGTTTTGATGCTATTGACCCCCTTTTGCAGTTATGTGGGGGTAAGCCTTCAGAGGGTGTATTTGTTGGTGTATTATTATCGATGTCTTCAACTGCTGTGGTAATTCTCTAAAATTTGGTTGAAGTTTCCTTTTCTATATTAGGGCAAATAAAAGTTAGGATTGTGTTATCTTTGCTTGGAGAGTTCTGCATCTCTTGATAACTAGGTGTAGTTTTAGTTGAATGTATACTTAATCCATATATGCTTGAAAGTGTTCTTTCTGGAACGAGTGCGGAGGTGCTTATGTTCTGGTTTGTCTTCTTTAACAACTCTATCATTATAGTACCACACTAATTAACCAAAAACACAAGCTATCTTAAATCCTAAATTGATAATGAACAATCATTATTTCCTTCTTTGAAACCCTAGTTAATATTTAAGAATAAGAGAGAGAAGAGTATTTGTGCTTTAGATGCCCAGTTCGCCACGTGTCCTCAGACTTAATCAGTAACACTCTGTAATTTTTATGTGATGCTATGATTCCTTCACCCGGAAACCTAATATGTGAAGGGCCAAGATTCACGACCTAGCCTATTTCAAAAACCCTATTTCCAGATTGCCTAACTTGATTCATAGGTTAGTGAAAATTCCATCCGTGGTATATTCCAAATTTTTCGACTTATAGCTGTAATATGGAACCCACCACCTTTAAAATCGAGGGCAGTACCCAAATCCCGTGGCAAATACAGTGAGTGATCTATAGTGGTAAGGGAAACACTACATATAAGGAGATAAATAAGATTCAGAACTCCTATTATCTCCTATTATTATAGAAATATTTTTGCACATTAATATTCAGATTTAGTTCCATGAAGATTCTCCTTTTTTATGTTAAATAAATATTCTTTGCTAGCCATCTTAAGAAAGAATAATACAAAGATCTGAATATATTACTTGCGGGGTATAATTTGAGAATGCTCTAGTGTTTCTGCCAAGTTACTGTTCTTTTTTATCCTTCTGCATCTTTCATTCTACTCCTGATTTGTTGCATATTTCTCCTGCATCCTCTCAAGCATTTCCTGCCACGAGCTTCATTACCAGTGGTCTGGTGTAGAGTTATGTTGTCTAATTCTTTGTTGGGGAAAAAAAAATTAGTGTGCTAACTTTTCACACATCTGCATGTTGCTGGCTGCACTTTGTTACAAATGCGACTAATCTGTTCCTACTTGCACAGGTCTTGAAGTTTCTAATGGAGAAAAATGGTATTAATGCCCTTCATGGTCAAGTTACTGTGGGGATTCTTATTCTCCAGGTAACGTCATTCTGTTCATAATAGGCATTACTTAGTTTCAGCTGTAAATTTCTTAAGGCATGCCCATTTATTTATAAAGGAAGATGTTTTTTTCTCAGGATTGTGCTGTTGGTTTGCTGTTTGCATTGCTTCCTATTCTTGGTGGCACTTCTGGTGCTCTACAAGGAGCAATTTCAATGACCAAGTCGTAAGTACCTTGTCTGCTTAATAATGACAAAGTTTTTTGTCCTTCTGTCCGCTTGATTGTGCGTGTGTGTTGCATGTGCATGCGTACAGCTGAAGCTGCATGACATCGTTCTTCGACAAGTTACTGTATGCCAGTAATGCTATATGTAAAATGCATGCCTTTCATATGTGCTTCTTCAATAAAATAGTAACTAGTTTTTGCATTCATCCATGGTTTGGTTAGTAGGTTATAATTTTCTTTTAGGCTTTGTATTTCTTTGTTCTAACCATTGAATTGATGATGACATGATCATCATCACCCAAAATTTTATAGATATTTTTTTCTTAACCAGTAACACATTAGTGAATAGAAAATATTTTTTTCTGGGACACAGTTAAAACTTTGTTGAAATCTTCTTGCTATATTATCTACTTTTTTTTGCATGATTGGATGATATTGCCTAGCAATGTGAGTGCACCATCATGATTGATGCTGATGGATATAGGTATTGCGTGGTGTATTGACTTGCCATATGAAATTTGTAATTGCCACCTGTATTGTGATTTCTGGGGTGTTAATCTCTATACCTGTTTGCATAGAAACATTTGGATCATGATCTTGCGATCTACCAAAAAGTTGACTTTCACGTTCTAACATTTGGCTAAAGATGTGTACGGCTTCTGATCATTGAACCTGTTGAGTTCATCCTATCCACCTCCATTTCGATTGTCCTTATCTGCATCCCGAGCTTGTTACCAAATCTTTTGCGCTTTTTTTGAGCAAAAGAATTCCATCTCATGATTCTGATATGATGCAATGTGCAAGATTTGGTAGGTCATGTTACATTTTCCTTTGAAAGCTTCACATCCATGTAAACCATTGTTTAAATATTCTAACTTTCCATGCTGACCGTATTGGAATGCACGATGCTTTATTCAAGTGAAAGTCTACCATGATGGCCGCTCAGGAAAATATTTTCATTTCATAGACCATTAGTCCTTATGGCATGTCTTATAACTCACTGTATATTGTTGTATGATAAAATCAGATGAACAGAGACGAACATCCTTCATGGAGTATCATGGTCATCAATTGACCTGGGCCTATTTTGAACTGTAACCCATGTAATAAAAGATAAAAATTGAACAAGGCAAAGAAATATTTCTGGATAAATGGGATTAACAGTTCTGTCAGCAATTTTCAACTTGGGAGCCCCATGTGAAAAGTTACATTCACTTGTAGGTTGTAGAGGATAAATAAGAATGGACAGGAGTAGCTTTGGCTAAACATCTAATATATCAAATGTGGTACTTAGGATACTCCTACAATTCATAAAGTTACTACTATTCCAAAATTTATATAGTGTTGTTGCGCCAACCAAACATATCAGTACTCCAAAATACATCTAGAACCTTTTAATTTTCCACACATATATTCACACATGCAGACAAGTACGAACTCTTGATACAAACCAAAATGATAGGCCTACCCTATCACCTTATCTTGCAGACATTTACGCTTCCAGAAGCTTCCAAAAACGTTTATGATGAGTGGGATGAGTACAACGACTCAGTAAGCGATCCATGTACTTTCTAAGCTCCAGTCTCACAAAAAATACTGATATATTTAAATTTTGGCACTAAACCAGGAAAATAAAATAAAATCAGATTAAATCAAATAACATCGAACTTCTCAAATTCAATGTAGTTTCAGCTGATAATTAAAACATTGCAGTTGAAAATTAAAATCTCATTGTCTATGAACTTCTTAATTATTTAATGATTACTCTTATCATCTAAAGCCAAAGGTCTAAAAAGATGGTGTTACCTAACATGTCCAGAAGCAGTACAGTACTAATCTAGATATTGTCATGAATTTAGCAATCTAAACGGATGTCCCAATTAAAACCCCTTTGAACGTCTGCAAAGGGTCCGGACAAAGCCCCCCTTGAACGTCTTCAATGGATCCATATAAATACCACTTGAACATCTCCGAATGGTGCAGACAAATATCATGGGTCCAATAAATCCACGATCATTCAATAATTCCACAAATTTTCCGTGTGAATCCAGACAGAAATTCCCAATATCTAGAGGTGTTTGTTTACAATTTTATCCTAAACAGTGATCTTTATGGAAAACTCTTAAATCAAACAAAAGTCAGTAGAAATCTTCTTCTGATACTGTATTATAATTCCTTAATTTAAAATATCTTTAAATAATTTTTTATATTCAAAATATTTCAAGAAACTTTAATGAAACTCTAATACTATACTTTTATAAATTATATCAAAATACTTAGAAGAAGCTGGAATTATAACTGTAGTCTCATGTTTGCCTAGTATTTAGTACAAAGGCAAAATGGCCAGATTGGCATATTTTTTCGAGGCTTGGTGACATGTTGGTATATTTTCTTTTAGTTTTGTCAGATTGATATATTTTTTTAACTCCGGCGCTATATAGGCCTTAAATTTGGCCGGAGTTACTGTTCCGGCCAGGGCTGATGGGATTTTTGGTCGGAACAGTAACTAAATTTTGGTCGGAACAATAATTAAATTTGGCCGGAGCAGTAACTCCGGCCAAATTTTAGGCCTATATGACGTCGGGGTTGAAAAAATATACCAATTTGACAAAACTAAAAGAAAATATACCAACATGTCACCAAGCCTTGAAAAAATATACCAATCTGGCCATTTTGCCTTAGTACAAATGTAGTCATGTCTGAATATTTTACCCATAAATGATTAATGGGTACAAACATCTTATACTACAGTCTTAATCTACTATAGTACTAACTGATATAAGTACTTTCTCACAAATGTAAGGTAGGGTAGTAGCAAATTTTCACTTCTTCAGCGACTTAAATGGAGAAGTGCACAACACAAGTTACAGTCACTTGAACAAGACCTTAGTTAAATAGTTTAGCATGGCACTCTTAGAATTTCTTATATGCTAGTTTATAGCTAATCTTTGTAGGTGGTAACTGATAGGTATCTCTTTCCTACAGAATGTAACATTAGATGAAATATCCAATTTATTTATTGCTCTTTGATTTTATTTATCTCTTAACATCATTTCAGAAATGAAAGTATTGAACGACTTTAAGCTCTTACTTTGATTTTATTTGTCCCTAACATCATTTTAGAAATGAAAGTATTGAACGGCTTTAAGCTCTATTGCTTAGGAATCAGTTTGACAAATATGTCAATCCTACATCACAATAAAACACCATGCTTCCCTTCTTCTTTAACCAAACTATAATTTTTAAAGGTACTAATCTACAGTAGCTTAGCTTCATTTGTCAAATAACAAATATTAAATTCAAACTAGAGTTGTAGAAAGAGGATCGAATTTGCATACCCGAGTCTACAACTTTCAGCTTGCACCCTTTTCTCTTGGTCCTTATGTTGTCTTAGACTTCAGTTAAATCCTTTTTTTTTAATCTCTCCAAGCACTTCTTTCACTCTCTATAGCCATCCATATATATTGTTAATGGCCCAAGTTTCATATCGGTGAGACTATTGCTGTAGATTGCTAATTGGATACAAATTTTGCATATTTATCTAGCTCTGCAATATAATGAGCACCTGGCCCCTCTTTGACAACTAACCCCTCCTTTTTACTGCCGCCTCGACTTTGTAGGACACCTAATGCTATGATCCTTTTACCCTTTGATGCTTCGTAGGGAAGATAACTGCTTCTCCCATTTCCTTTTTATTTATTCATTATTTATGATGGAGTCCAAACCTCTTGTTTGTAGAATAACTAATAACGTTAAAATATGTCATACTTGCTGAACTATACGTGAATGCTCTAGACAATATAAATAGATAAACATATTATCTCTCTCTCTACACACACACACACACGTACATACCTAATTCCATAAAAACAACTCATTTCCTTATAAATAAAAAAGCAATTCTAATTATAGTTTCAGTACCAGATTATTAGTGTTCAATTAGTAGAAGTTATTACAGTTTGAATTTGCTTTCATCATGTTTACTTGAGTAAGATAGTACTTTTGTCCTGCTATTGTTTTCAAAGCCTGTCTGGTTGTATATAAATGGAGAATTTAGTCGGCTCCAGGATTCCTGGAATTGCAATTCCAATATACGCTCTTTTGTTTCTCATTGAAAGTTGAAGTCCAATTTATGTTGTCCCTGGTCAGCTTCAAAACCCCAATTTTCAGTTTGAGTAATTTGAATTCACAGATGTCAAGAGTGATGTTCAAAATCACTATTCGTAGTAGAAATGTTCGATATGCACATCCAGCTGCAAGCAACCAATTGGCTTTTCTCATCATAATTGACTCTGAAACTTTCATTATGCAAATGCCAAATGTAGCCTTAATGAAATATTTGTGGCAGGTTTAACATATAATAAAAATATGATTATGTTCTCTATACTAGCCTAAATGAATTACTTACCATATGCTCCAAAGCCTTCCTACTGTTGTCCAGGCTAATATCTTGCTTCAGAGTAACTGTGTATAAGATAGCATCTTTGTCTTCTATCACTACTAGCACTATTGCACGTGCAACAGAAATAAAAACTTAAATATTCTAATTTTTACATAAAATGGGTCATTTTAATGCCCTAAAAGATCATCAATTTTTTTCAAGAGCATTTTATGATGTTTGTTCATTTAATATTACATTTTATTAATCTTATTTGGAATTGACTAATAAATATTTCAATTTGAGCGGTGACATAATTTTCTTAAATAATGTTCTTTAGAAGAGCATTTTTCATATTTAATTCAAGTGACTATTTTAATTATTTTTATCCCAAGTATCTAGATATACACTTTCGATAATATTTACATTGGAACATATTGACATTCTAATTGTATTTTTTTATTTATTTATGTGCATATTTAAGATAGAACTTTATCGTTTCATATTAATATCTCTTATAATATGCAACGTAATGGGTATGTTATTAATAAACTTTAATAATAAGCTTATGTCATCATTTTAGAAAGTTCTATAAAAAGGAAAGAGAAAACAAAAGAAAGGAAAAAAGCTCTTCTATAAAATTACAATTTTACCCTTTTAAATACAATAATAATGAAGGAAACATCCACCTCTCATCCATTTTTTCCTACCCCCAGTATTTCCATTATATAGTAATATAGATTTCATGTTCAACCAATCTAAAGGAGTACCTTGATGAGAAAGGAGTATTGTTAATATGTTCCTCACAAGTATGAGCTATGTTTAACAAATTACATCATTGAACTTTCTGCAGAATAAACCTAGACCATATCTTCAAGTTATGATTGTTATTTTATGCTGAAGTTTATCATCTTACTGAAATTAAGATGATCTTTCTTTTGTCTTTTGTTTTTTCCCTCTTTCTTTCTGGTCTTCCTTCTTTTTCCTGTTCTTACTTGATCCGGTGGCTGAGCTTTCTGTGGAATGCTTGTTTTCCACTTTATTGCTAAGATCAGTTTTTATATTACTGGACAAACCAATTATTTAAACTGGAACCTAACTGCTAATGGAGCTATTCTTCTACCAGTCTGTTCGTGCTGTGTACTTTCTTGGCCATCCTGTCAATATTGTCACGAACATGTGTGCCTTGGTGTCTTAGGCTGATGATAAGTCTCTCATCTCAGGTACTTTCTTTTTTATTTCCTACCAAGTATATTTCTTTAGATCTTTCATTTATATCAGGTTGGTTACAACACTTAGTGAATCTAATAAGCAATTTTCATTGCAGACCAATGAACTTTACCAGTTGGCATCAGTTGCATTTTGTCTACTTGTTGCTTGGGTTTGTATTCAGATCATTTATCAGCACTTTGCTATTATCTTCAAGTGTTCATTACGAGTAGCTTTTACCTCTTTGCTACTTCTGTTGTCCACATTGTGTGATAAATATTTCTGTTTGAACCCTAGAGCATATGACTTTGAACTAAAAAGAAATCTTTTGAGTAATTATTTCACGAGAATTTGAAAATAAGTTGAGCGGAGATATATTTTAAGTGCATAATTAAGAACACAAAATCACTTCGCTTCATGGTATGGCATGTTTATAGCAGCTTATCAAGTACCTTCCTTCCTTATAGTCATCAATTAAATTTCATATCTTATTGAAGTTTAGAATTTTCTAATCATCAATTAAATTTCATATCTTATTGGTGTTTAAAATTTTCTACTTATGCCTTGCCTACTCGTTTGCTCTAGCACTTTTATCTACTGGTGATTTGAAGAAAGTGTGCTTTGTATAAGTTTGAATTTGTAAGTCATACTTTGTCGTATTATGCTGCATGTAACACAAACATCTCATATGGTTGTACTTGACATAAGTACTATACACACACACACACACACGTGTGTGTGTGTGTGTGTATGAAAATAAATGTAGAATATAGAATCAGGATAAGGCATGCTACAGGTTCATAAAACAAGTGTGTGAATTCAAGTTTACGTAACTTCCCGCTTTTATAAACCATGAAAATGCATCCAATCAAAAACCAATCTAGTTCACGGTTGGAAATGTGCTTAGACATGTCAAACATGTAGCCACCAAGTATCAGCACATGTCAATGTAGATATGTTTTAGACTGGATATAGGGCCTTCCAGTGCTTATTGGTGCAACATAGATTTCATATCGCATTTTTACAGATTTGGAAATAAGTATTCTAATTGCAATATACACATTTTGTTTGTTTATTTGTTTCTTTTTTTTCCAATGTATGTGTAAGGCATGCCTTGTGTGCTTCTTATGCCTGTGTGCTTCTTAAGTTGTAACTTGCATTCACTGCAAAGAGAGGAGGTTTGCAGGGTGGCACGGGGGTTTGCACCAGTCGAGGTTGTTAACGGATGTCACTTTAAGAGGTGCTATGAGTACCTAAGAGTCAGAGGAGCAAATTCTAGTTGCCAATGGGGGTTGTTATTGTGGATATACACTAAGAGATGTGATAAGGAATGAGAGCATTCCTTGGAAGTTAGATGTTGCTCCTATTGAGGATGAAAGTAAGGACAATTGAGATGGTTTGGCCATCTGCGGTGAAGGCTACTAAATGCAGTAATTAGGAGAAGTGATAATATTATAATTAATAGAACGAGGAGAAGAAAAGAGGCATGTCGGAGTCAAAGCAGCAATTTTATAAAAGCCTTTTCCCATCACGTGGCACTAAATAAGGAGTAAAAACCTGAATTCAGGGTGGATTGGCAGGAAGATTGACCAAATTCTAAGATAACCTGTGAATACGAGGATGATGAATAATGTGTTGGACTCTGGTCAAGGCAAATATGGGCAAGAATGACCCACAATGAAAAGTAGAGGACACATTAACAGATGGGAAAACTGATTTATGATCATGTGATTTAACCTCACGCAAGCTATAAGCAACCAACTGAATTTGTTGATAGATAATGGATAACAACCACCCCAGCAGCAAGACTAACAACTAAATCTTTACCTAGAGTTTCGGGGTTGGTTATAGAAGCTAACCAAAACCCAAGCTTGTAAAAGCATGACATTTATATCCTTTTCTTTTTCTTGCAGAATATTGAGGTTCTTTAGTTTCATCCAAAGCTTCTTGTTATTTTTCTCATGTTAGCTAGAGTACATGCGTCATGGAACTCTTTTTGACATAGTTTAAACTATAACAGTACCTCATTTTGAACTTATAAATGACAGGACAATTGTGTGATATTAAGAGTTATATAGACAATAGCATTGGATAACTTGTTAAGTTTATTATTGGTCCAACTGCGGTAAATGTATGCATTTATTTAACTAACTTCAAATTGATGCCTTAAGTTATCTGATGACTGACCAGATCCTTTAGCTAAGTTTTTTTTATCCCCTCCCTTGCAAAATGTCAGCTTATCCTGAATGCGACGTATTTCCCATGCTTTTAGTTTGTTGAATTTATGGTCTTATAGCTCTCTTTCCCCTCCCTTATTTTTCTGTTTTCCATGCTTATGTGTGGTTTGTCTTCGAATTTTTTCTTGTTCAGATCTTATTTTGCGATGTTTCCTGTGAATATAGAGAGAACTTAAATTTATGAAATTAGTTGCCATCTAGTTTCTGTCCAAACAATCCGGCAATGGTCACACTTTCTTATTTTGAAGTTTTTGTAATTTCAGTGTAGCGACAAGCTGGGCCTAAGTTTGGAACTTGGTTCCTTTGCTGCTGGAGTTATGATTTCAACAACTGATCTTGCACAACATACTCTGGAACAAGTATGTTTTTTCTGTAGATATTTTCTGTTAATTTTAGGACACTTATGCTATAATATTGTGTTACATTTTGGTCATTTTTCTACTGCATCCTTCATAGTGCATAGTATCTCTTATATGGTTGTTATAAGTCATTCTACTCGTGAACATTTCCGATACTTTTTTCTTTCTTCAACACCATGATTTTTGTCTTATCTTTTATCAAAGTGTAAAGAACAATAAATGTTGCAGATTTCTTGCTAGCCTTAGGTATAGATTTCAGTTGCATTTGCGTGTTTAACTTCTTATCTTTTTTTGATTTACTAGGACATGGCCAGAACCTTCATTTCTTAGTTCTGGCTTCCCTGAGATGTGCTTTTATAGTTTTGTTTCCTGCTTTAATATTTCTCAATTTAGCATCTTCAAATATTTTAAGAAAAGGTAAACAATTTAGTAGTTAAAGGACCTGAAAATGGGTTATCTTGTGAATGCTCTTTGCAAACCTGGACACGGGGGTAGTTCGATATTTAGGGATCAAAGTTTATCAACAGTCATTACTATATCTCTTCTTACATTTTAAATTGATGCAATATATCATGCTCTGATGTATGCAATTTCAAATTTTCATCTGTTTTTGAACTTCATGACGATTCGATCATCTGTTTTTGTTTATTGTGATGAAAGAAAAAGAGAGGCTCTGGCATTAAAATATAGTAATGTATTATATATTTCTTATTTCAGGTTTCTTATTTCTGCAGATCGAACCTATCAGGAACTTCTTCGCTGCTCTCTTTCTTGCTAGTATTGGAATGTTAATTCATGTTCATTTTCTTTGGAATCACGTCGATATTTTATTAGCGGCTGTGATTCTGGTGGTTGTTGTAAAGACAATTATTGTTACCTCTGTTGTCAAGGGATTTGGCTACACGAATAAAACATCACTGCTGGTAACTATGACATTCCTCTGCTTTTAACTGTTGCTACATTCTCAATTTTGGATCTAAACTTTGCTTGTTTGGAACTTGTAGGTTGGCATGTCACTTGCACAGATTGGGGAGTTCGCTTTTGTGCTTTTAAGTCGTGCTTCAAATCTTCATCTGGTCGAGGTTAT